GTGAATCATGACTATTAGCTACAACAATACTGGACAAATACTCCCGCTTAGCTTCTTCCACAGTCCTCTGATAGTTGCGCCAACAGTCCTTCAAAATTTGCAGTGAAATTTGCAGTCCATCCTTCTTCCACCTTCTTTCAGCTTTGCGGCACTTCTGTCTGGCCGCACGAGTTCTAGTGCCAAGCCAGGGTTCCATCCTAATTTTAGGCCGCACGATTTTCATCGGGGCCACAGAGTCCAGTATAAGGCTGCAAGAGGATTGAAACCAAGCGCACAGCCCCTCTGTATCTCCAGCAGCCTTGTTAGTACACGCAATTGCCTGTTCAAACGCCGTGATAAACAGACCGGCAGTGGAAGGGCTCAGTACACGACGATGCCGAGCAGGCGCTGGCAGGGCACCAGCTGTACAAAACAGTTTCGCCTCAAAAACAATGGACAAATGGTCAGAAAAAGCATTCGTACAGATATTTAAATTAGTTACAGGCACACCATATGAAAGAACAAGGTCCAGCGTGTGTCCCCGCTCATGTGTAGGACCAGACACACACTTTATATATGTCACCATTTGGTTCAATCATATCAAGGCATAATGTTCATTTTCATTTTTATGCGGATGACATTCAGATCTATGTGCCGCTGATACTAGACGATTCTAATGCACTTACCCCACTGCATAATTGTATCTGTGACATTAAACTGTGGCTATCGCAGAATTTCCTACACTTAAATGAGAGTAAGACGGAGTACATCGTCTTTAGCCCTGATTCAGCTGCTGTTGTATCCAGTCTAGGTGTTTCAGTGTTAGCACCTTCATTCACTGATACCGTGAAAAATCTTGGAGTGATATTTGACAGTGGCTTCAATTTTGATAAGCAGATCAGATCCGTGGTTAAAACCAGCTTTTTTCACCTGAGACTCTTAACAAAGGTGAAGCCCTTCTTATTGCACGCAGACTTAGAAAAAGCTATCCATGCTTTCATCACCTCACGGCTGGACTACTGTAATGCCCTTATAAGTCAACTCTAAAAATCCATCTTTTTAGACAGGCCTTTGGTGCCTAACCCGTTCCAGTCTTAACCCGTCTTTTAATTCGTTGTTTTACGCAGATTGTGTCCTGATATGGAAGATTTTTACTCCTTCTGTTTTTAAAATTTGTGCTTTATTTTGTTTAGGTCTTCTTGTTTTAGTACTGTTTTTTATTAGCGTATACATGTTCTGTTGAGAAGCACTCTGTGCTCCTTTGGAGTTGTAAAGTGCTATATAAATAAACGTGCTCCTTTGGAGTTGTAAAGTGCTATATAAATAAACTTTTATTATTATTATTAACATTATGACCACATGCCTAATACTGTTTACATAGGAGTCCATGAGGCAGTTGGTTGGCACTCGTGTCACTCTGCAGCTCACTGTGTATCTTCTGTGAAACCATTTGCATCCACAGTTCTACTGTCAGGAAGAGCACAGACGTGTCTACAATTCAGTGAAACACTTATGTAAAAGGAGTGAAAACTGTGGTGGTGAGGACAAGTTAGAGAGAATTTTTTTAGACAAATTCAACAGCCTCACCGCTCTAGGTGTGATATCACCACTACAGCCCCTAACTCTTTCTCTTCATAGAGACCAATGTACAATATTTCTCATTTTCAACCATTTTCACAAAGATTCAAATACATTTTAACCATGACCATGCCTCCAGTTCACCATTTGTCCTTCTTTAGACACTGTTGGTAGGTACTAACCACTGCAGACCAAGAACACCCACCAAGACCTGCAGTGTGGGAGATGCTCTGACCCAGTCATCTCACCATTACAGTTTGGCCCTTGTCAAAGTCACTCACATTCTTGCACTTTCCCATTTTTCCTGCTTCCAACACATCAACTTTGAGGACTGAATGTTCACTTGTTGCCTAATGTACCCCAACACTGACAGGTGCCGCAGATAGCCAGTGTCATTCACTTCACCTGCCGGTGGTCATAATGTTATCATTGATCCATGATGTTTTTGTCGGTCCGACGCTACATGTTTGAATCAGTTTCACTACTTTGTGAATGTATGTGGCCATCTGTAATGCAAGGGGTTTGTTGGGGAAGATGCAGCGATCATCAGCTGGATTTACCAACCTTGGAGCTACTTGAAAGGGAGTGATGTTTAAAGCTAAGCTCAAAATATATTTCTTTTCTTTGATATATATGTAGTTTGGTGTTGTCTGTTTGTGTTTCTTTGTGCTTATTTTCATTTTGTTGTGCAGTGTATCGAGACATTTTCACATTGAGGCATCTTGAGATAATGCACTAAAAATAAACTTGAACCTTGAACAGGGCTCTAAATTCAGATTTGACACATTTTATTTTCAGTTTAGCTTTCACTATCACTACTCTTTGAGATTCTCATCTGAACTGCTTTATCAGTTGTGTTTTACTGATAAAATAATATAATATCACAAACGTGCTAATAAATTGTGATTGGAAGGCCAAAGTTATTTAAAGGACAATTGGATTTAGATTACAGGAAGTAACACAAGTGTCACTTTTTTGATATTTGTTTTATTTATAGAAAAGCAAATTGGATAAAGAAAGGTAGGGCTGTACCTAACAGTCGACTATTAGCTGTTCAGTGTGACTATTTGAACATTCATAATTTTATATATACAGTGGCAAGAAAAAGTATGTGAACCTTTTGGAATTTCATGGTTTTCTGCATTAATTTGTCATAAAATGTGATCTGATCTTCATCTAAGTCAAGAGTACTGATGAATATAATGCGCCTAATATAACAAAATTTTTTTTTGATCTTTCATGTCTTTATTAATGCAGAAAACCATGAAATTCTAAAAGGTTCGCATACTTTTTTCTTGCCACGGTATGTCTTTTATTGATTTTTAAATGCTCCTAAATATGATCCTGTCACTATTTTTCATTTACATACTGATGTTAGTGGTTGAAATCATCATTGAAATGCATGCCAGTTGATTTTCTGACAGTGTAGGCTACATGTATATTAAAAAAAGAATGAATAGTAGCACTGAAGAGCTGACTGACAGTCGACTGACAACTCCTTAGTCAGGTGCAGCCCTAAAAAGTTTAATCTCTTCTATAAACCTTCACACATTAGCTATGCGTTTGCATATTTCAAATCATGCACTTTTTGTACACAAGGTATTTTGTACACAAAAATAAAATACAGTATACAACAAAACCAAACAAACAAAAAACTGCTGTATTCCAAAATTGTATCTGTTTCATGATTGGACTTGTTCTGTTTTGCAGGACAATAGTGCCATGGAAAGTCTTCCGACAGTGCCTTCATGAATTGCATCCTATCAGTTCGGGCCTGGAGGCCATGGCCCTCAAATCTACCATTGATCTCACCTGCAATGACTATATTTCTGTGTTTGAGTTTGACATCTTCACACGCCTCTTCCAGGTCAGGTGAAATTAAACCAATTTTCAAATCATTGAATGAAATGATTTTGGCACACACAACACATGGCATTTTAATTTTGGTTCATTCTGTATTCTGGTACAACAGATTTTGGCATTTCTATGCAGTGCCTCTTGTCAGTTGTGTTCTTGTCAATACATGCTCTTTGTCTGGAATTCTTAACCAAAAATATGTTTAAGATGTTTTCTATACTGGATTATATTTTTGAGTCTTTTTTTGACATCCAACAACAAGCCAGGCATATACTGTCAGATTACTGCTACAGATGACACCGTTGAAAAAGTATGGTGCTATCATTACATGTGTTAACAAGGTCAAGACATCAAATGTCATGTCATTGATTTACAACAAAAGCATTAAATTACTTATAGTTTTATAATATGCAAAAGATGCATCCTCTTGCATTTATGCATTATATTTACTTAGCTTTTCCAATATAAATAAGTACTGAATAAGCTGTTTAATGGACAGAGAGAGTTTTAAAGGGCCTCCTGAAAAACAATAGCTTCAATAATGAGAATTTACCCAATGCCAGATATCTGAGGGGTGGATGAAAAAGGTGAGGTTCAAGGAACCTGTACTTAACCCTGTAAAGCCCAACATATCAAAAAAATAGCCAGAACATTCTAATTTTTTGGAACTGAGATGTTTATTAAACATCATGATTTGAAATTCAAGATTCACAATTTTTATTTGCCATATATGCATAGACAGACAGTCCAGACATATAGGATTAGAGGTGCCATATTATTTAGATTATTTCTATTTCTTTTGTATCACATTTGATACATGGGGCATTTTTGGTGATTTTTTTTTTTGCTCAGAAACCTCACGTATCAAATATGATACAAATGGTTTTATAGGGTTAATGTTTAATATGTTTTATGCATTACCTTAAACTGTAATACATGGATTCTAATGCATATAGATGTTGAACAGGTTCCTGAAATTATATACAGTAGATTAGACTATATCAAAGTCTTTAGGCCATGCTCCCAGAAATCCATCTATCCATTATCTGCCGCTTTATCCGGGGTTGTGTCACGAGAGCAGCAGGTTTAGCAAGGTGGTCCAGATGTCCCTCTGGGGCAGCTGTGGCTCAGGAGATAGAGTGGGAGGGTTGGTGGTTCGACTCCTGGCTCCTCCAGTCCACGTGTCCAAGCGTCACTGAACCCCAAATTGCTCCTGTGTGTCTGAGTGTGTGCACGAATGGGTGAATGGAAAATAGTGCTTCATTGCATAGAAAAGTGCTATATAAGACCATTTACCTCTACCCACCAGTGCTTTCTAGCTCCTCCTGGGGGACCCTGAGCAGTTCCCATTTTAGATAAGATACTGTATATAATCCTTCCAGCTTTTTCCGGGTACCTTGGGGCCTCCTGCCAGGAGGCATCCTAATCAGATGCCCAAACCTCTTCAACTGGCTCTTTTTGATGCAAAGGAACAGCAGCTCTACTCCTAGCTCCCACCACCTGTCCAAACTGCAAACCCCATCTCAAAGACTCAATCCAGCCACTCTGTGGAGAAAAGCTCGTGACAATAGGTAAGGGTTGGAGCATAGACTGATCAAAAGCTTTGCTTTCCGGCTCAGCTCCCTCCCACAACAGTCCGGTACAAAAGCCCATAATACTGCTGATGCTGTATCATTCCACTTGTCAATCTCATCAACACCCCAAGATACTTAAAAGCCTATGCTTGGGGCAGCAACTCATTCCCAACTTGAAGCGAGAATTCCAGCAGAGAACCATGCTCCTATATTGGAGGTGCTGATTCTCATCTCAACTGTTTCACACCCAGCTGTTAACTGCCGCAGTGATACTGGAGATCATGGTCTAATGCAGGGGTGCCCACACTTTTTCGCCTTGCAAGCTGCTTTTCAAATGACCAAGTCAAAATGATCGACCTACACTAAAAACACTCTACACGCGCTCGGGCATACACACGCATATTATATGTATGAATAAAACTACGAATAAGTCATAGTTTTATGAACAGTCTGAAAGTGCCGCTCCACATTTCCCTTCTTTGGAATAGTGATGGTAGATTGGTAGATCAAGCAAATGCACTTCAAATATTAACGTTGCGATAAAATAGTCCTCCTCCCATTCCGCATGGAATGTTTTGGGTACTTTTTCGGTTTCTTACTTGATTCGGCTCCCCTACTCATTTTATACCCTTTAGTAGACATTAATTCGAAGGCTGACAAGGTAGTTTGCTCACTGCAGTTTTGCAGTAGCTCGTGCGGTTGACTGTGCATGCTTGGTGACTCGTGTCAGAAAGACAAGCTCTCAGACTGGCTGCCCTGCATGTCAATTAAGTAGCAAATACCATAGGGAGGATGGATGATAGGCTATATATGAATGATTGTCACTTTCTGCTTTACCTGTTAGTGGTTGCCACAACGAATCGTCACACTGACCATTCGCATGTTAACATTGGGCACGTGTTTTACGCCGGATACATCAAATTTATTTTTGAATGGCACGCGATCTACCAACACTACCTTTGCGATCAGTCGACCAGTCGATCGCGATCTACCAGTCGATCGCGATCAACGTATTGGGCACCCCTGGTCTAATGGATCCAACAGAACTATATAATTTGCAAAAAGCAGAGAAGTAGTCCTGAGATCCCCAAACTGGACCCCCCAGCTGTGCCTTGAAATCCTATCCATGAAAACATGATCTGAAACAAGGGGCAAACCTAGCAGAGGCCAGCACCTACTGGGAATGTGCTTGACTTAAAAAATACAGACACAACTCTCACTCCACTTATACAAGGACTAGATAAGTTGCAACAATGGCCCAGTTACCTTACACTCACCGACAAGGCTTCCCCAGGCACCCAGTCATAGACCTTCTCCAAGTTCAAAAAACACATGTAGACTAGATGGGCAAATGCCAATGGCCCCACTAGTCTCGCAAGAGTTGGTCCACTGTTCCATGGCCAGGCTGGAATCTACATTGTCTCTCCTGAATCTGAGGTCAAAGCCTCCTTAGTGGCATCTTGGCATAGGCTTTCCTGGGGAGGCTGAGCAGTGTGATATCTCGATAATTGGTACATACGTTCCAATCTCTTTTTTAAATATGGACACTATCAGCCCTATCTGCCAGTCCACAGGCATGGTCCCCATTCTATATGCAACATTGAAGAGGCATGCTAACATGGATACAGCCCTACAGTATCCAGAGCCTTTGGTGTTTCAGGGTGAATCTCACTCACACCCAGCACCTTGCCGCTGAGTACCTTCTCAACTACCGCAGAGAACCTCTGCCAAAGATATGAGAAAGTCTTCCCCCAGGACTTCAGACTGGTTGGGTTTAGGAGTCCCTCAGAGTGCTCCTTTCCATCATCTGATGACATCCCCAGTCCAAGTCATCAGTTCTGACTTGCCAGTACCTGGTACTGTATGTGGCGGTCTTTGAAATAAGCTGTAAAATATAGATATAAAAGATTGGGCTACAGGAAGACTGCTCTGTATTAAACTGTATTTGTCTAGTACTGTGGTATTCTATAAAAAGAAATGAATACCTTTATGGACCAGGACTCCACCCATATCAGCATTGTTTATTTTAAACAGTAGAATGCATAGTGCATGATAGATGCAGCCTGACAATAAAGGTGGCTTGTTGCATCACCTGCATTCGATTTTAACCTCACTTCAAAATATACACTGACTGACAGTAGGACAAAGTAGCACCTGGAAGATTAAAATGTTTAATACAGTAGGTTAACAGCACAGGAAAGAAAGAAATATAGATTTTTTTTCTCTTCTTTGTTCATTTTTATTTTCTGAGTTTAAGGTTTTCTGTGGCTTCAGTTCCCTACTGTTGACAGATTAGTGGTCCATATGGCTTCAAGATGGTGTGTGGGCACTATTTTGCTTTGTACATGCCTACTCTGAGCATGTAAAATGAGAGTGCATGGTCTGTTATAGCAAATATAGTCATGGGTAGGAGTTGCCATTGATAGGCTGCTTCCTGGGAAACTGCTTCCTGTGTCCTGTGTGTCAGTCAAGGCACTTCCATGTGGTCAACCTGATGCCCCTGGGCTGTTTGACTGGGGGTTGAGAATCCAGATGGGGAGGCAAGGGAGGGATCAGTAGGCCCACATGAAGGTAAGAATGACTGAGTAAACAAGGGAGGAAAATGTACCAAACTTGGTGACAAATCATGGTGATGATATAATCCTCTCAGGATAAATCTGGTCAAATGTTGTAGGGTGAGTCGGGCCTTATAGTGAATACTTCAGCTAAAGGTCAAAGTGTTTGTCATATGCACAGTTAGGAAACATGTTTCCCTGTACAATGAAATTACTTTGCTGTCCACATGAACGCCACACAGTACAAGTGAAATATAAAGTCGATGAGCAATAACACAAATCTAAATAGGCAGTGAAATCACAAATCTAAGGCACTTTAAAGCAGCAAGTGAAGGAAGCAAATAAAAATACAACAAGAACACAATATAATGCAGAGGGAATATATCCTACGTGGGAGCCGTGGAGTGCAAATACTCAGCAGTGAGTGTGCAATTATGCATGTGCAAAATGAGTATGTGAACAGTACAGATGGAATTACATGAGGTAGATCCTGAGTCTGCTGTTTAGGAGTCTGGTGGCAGAGGGAAAGAAAGAGTTTTTCAGTCTAGAGGTCCTGCATTTCACACCTCTGAGCCTCCGACCAGAGGGTAGGGGTATAAACAGTGTCCTATAACTGATTGTCTTTATTTTATTTTTTTGTCATTATGCATGTGTTGTAGGAAATTTGGCCTCTGCTGCTTTTATAAACATTTATGAAATGATCAAATCTATGTAACACAGCTGTGTGATTTGACTGTGAACAACAGAATGAGAAAACTGTTTTACTTGTGTTCCAGTCTGTGTCTATAGTTAGCATTTTCCATTTGGCCATCTCCTGCCTCTGTGGGCCAGGCCACTATTCACTTTACAGCTCAAATCAAGAAACTCGGAGTGGTTGGGGCTTGCTCCATTGCTTTTTTAGCCCAAAGCCCAGTAATTCCAGTATACCATGAGGTATTTTTTCTTCTTCTTCTGCCAAATCAGCTACACAGTGAGGACAACAGACCAGTGTCCTTGGTGAGCTCCAGATAACAGGCAGAATGGAGGTGAATGCTGTGGCAGTTGGAACCAACTGACAAAACCACTGAAGCCATCAAATACAATGCCCCCTATGACTCTTAATTTAGGGTTCTGATGTAAACACTTTCTCTTTCAATACCAGTGGGGTTTTTTTTTTTTTTTTTGTCCCATAAGGTTTTTTAAA